TGGTTGCTTTTGTCTTATTTCCTAAGATTCAAGAAGAATTTGTTGTTTTGTTTTTTGTTTATTTTAAAAATTTATTTACTTAGACATTAGTTTTCATATCAAGTAAATTAATTATTTGTTGTGCAATTTCTGATTTTTGTTAGCCAAAGATAGTTAACGTACCGAAATAGTAATGTAATGTTTGTGATATTAGAAACTTACTTAAAGAATCATTTATAAGACGTCCGGGAGGCATATTCGTATCAAGCGTCCAGTATCGCAGGCTCACCTTTTCCGAGTTCCCTCGAATCCGTTCAGGTATACAGCGCGCGGGAACGCATTGTTTAGGCTTTTCGCGTGGTACTCAGCGTTCGATATCGCAACATATTGACAAGATATGCGCCCCCTAAGTAATATTTTAAAATTTATGTGGCATATAATCCAAAACACATTCGCCTTAAAGTTTTATTACAAGTATAAACAAAGTAATTTTAATGTTTTTTTAAGAAAATACACAATTTGCTTATTTTAAAAACTTATTTTCTCCTAAAGGTATATTTTTCTCCACGCACAGGAGTAAATTGTGAGGTGCTTCCGCCTTCTTTTTAACTAAAGAAGAAACTTTTCGTCCACTTTGCACTTTTCTACGTCCACATGCATGAACCTTTCTTCTTGAAACTGATGTTGGTTGAACCGATATCTTTTTTCCTTTTCGGCATATTTTTTTTTGTCGAATTGATCCTTGTGTCTGTACGTGGTTTGAAAGCATTGTGTAACGCTGACATTAACTTTGACTCTGACTTAACGTATTTATTATACGAATTTATACAAACATCCACCGCCGGAATAAAATTATCAGAGTTATCTTCGATAGATAAGACCATGACAAATGCCATAATAGTATATTATGCAACGATCATGTAATAACCATTACATGAGAGTTGCATACGCTATTTTTTCTACACCCGATAAATAATCAAGACCTATAAATATTATATTTATATTGGTATTGAACACAATAACAGTAATTACTCGTATTTCTATAAAAAATTCTACAAAATTGTAATTAATGGTATTACTTCAGGTATTGGTATTTCCCTAGATTTTTGCGGTAAAATATTTTGTACTGTATTTTCTGCTTTCTCCGATATGTGTGGAGGAGTCTTCTATATCGCTAATATCAGACATTTTAATATTATAATTATCGAAGTTTAGCTACCTACGAAAATTTAATACGTTTTGACAACTAAAATAATTACATAGGAACCTAGGACAAACGTCAAACAGCATGCTTGATTGAAAAATTGTAGGTTTCTATTGATTAAAAATCTGTATCGTAATGAAAAATCTGTATCATAATGGGTATCATTATGAAACGGATTATGGGCATATAAGTGCATTATTATAATACGGGTGTAGAAAAACTAATAATTGCAATTTCGAACGTTGGATACATCTAGCATAATGCATTCTCGCGCTCTGGATACATCGATGCATTCGGCGGTACTCGGAAAAGACGAGCCTGCGATACTGGATGCTTGATACGAATATGCGCCCGGGAGCGCCATAGTAAATAATAATAGACATTCTTGCTTCGCATAAGCTCGCTTGTATGTGGGTGAAGTGCATGAAAAATAATTTTTTGTATTGCCATCTCTTTGATATATTTTTTATTTATTTTTCTTGGGAATTTCTAGTAAATATAATTTAATATAATAAAACTTTGTATGATATTTATTTTATCCCTCATAATTATTTGTCATAGAATTTTACATTTTTATTGGCCATTTCATAATTGTTACAAACAGCTAATAAAAAAGGAAAATTGTAATTATAATTAAGAGGAAAATTTACTCAAGCAATTATCTTTTTCTAAACAATACGAAATAGAGCCATAAATATTTCTATAGTTTAATTTTACTTTTTAGTGAATGAAAAATTTATACCTTCAGGTAAAAGTGAAATGTCCGTTTTTCTGGAGCCACTATTCCGAAATTTGATTTAATTATTTTCTCAATTTTTGAAAATTTGGCTATCAAAATTTGATTAAATTTTGAAAAAGTGGCTCCAGAGGAATATATTGTAGCTACATGTACGTGTTTTTTATTTCACTAAAAATTAAAAAAAATACTACCAAAATTTTGTATGGTTATATTTCGTATTAGTTAGAAAATAATTGCAAAAGTAAATTCTCTTTTAAAAAAACCCGCCAATTTTCAAATTAAATATAAAATTACGGGTAACTGCATTACCCACAGAGTAAGAGATGATGGTAATACTACTACATTACCGACAGAGTAAGATTAGTTCTACTCCTCCCCCCAAGCAAACATTATGCCAAATTTCTACAAAGAAACGGCAACTCTTAATAATCCTTCCTCCATGCTTAATACATTCTCATACTTGGTAACTTCCGCCTACATGTTTAGGCTAATTGACCACAAATCAAAATACTCATCTTAGATACCGTTGATTTTTAGATGGCAAATAGTTTCTGGATTATTGTTAAATAAAAAAACAAATTGTCTATTTATTGACTTTTTATCTATACATATATAACAAAACAAACATTCTTACATGTAAAAATTCACAATTATGTTTATTGAGCAAATAGAAAAATTATAAATCTACAAAAATTCATGTTAATATTTACAATTATGAATATATTTAAAATGTACAATTTATCCAGGATGTAACAAAAAAACGCAGGTACAGAAAATGTATCCACAGTTTCTGGGGTCGAAAATAGTAAAAAATCTTACGTAAAAATTTTAAAAGTGATTTTTGGATCTTACTCTAAAACGACTTAATATATTTTTATGAAAATATACATTGCATGAAAGTATGCAATGATCAATAAAATGGAGTTAGTAGCTTTTAAAATTGTTTTGATTCTATAGGTTTTTAGAAGGGTTTCACCCATTTTTGTCCTCCACATTTTTAATAATGAAATTTAGTTAAAACTAAAATCTGTTTTTAATTTGTTTTGTCTCTATTTGCTTGTCAAAGCCTTAACTACTGAGTTATAGATCTCTGGATATCTGTTCACGATATTTTTTACTATACAACTTTATAGATGATCGATATTTAAGGAAATAATTATAAATGAAATTATAAAATAGAAAAAAAAAACGTTAACAAATAATTTTCAGTGTGAATGTTTTTCCATATGATGTACCTTTAGAGGCATATCAATCAGTAATTAAGGCTGTCCCAAACAAATACTAGATGATAAAAAAAATAATAGCTGATATTGAATTTCAGTTTTCTTTTTTGGTAACTAAATTTCATTATCTAAAAAAGTAAGGGACCAGAGTAATACAGAACCCTATTAAAAACATATAAAATTAAAACATTTTTGAACGCAACTGACTCCATTTTATTGATCACTACATACTAACATTTCTTGTACATTTTCATAAAAATATGTTGAGATATTTTAGAGTTAAAGCAAAATATCACTTCTAAAAGTTTTTTAGTCATCATTTTTTATTTAAAAAGTTTAATTAAATTGGCTTATATTGGGTCATAGAAACTGTGGTTATATAAGCGTTTTCTAAAACTCTGCTTTATTATATGGATATCTGTTTTCCACCAGTCACTCTTAAACATAAAGCAAAATGCAAATCTAACTGGATTACAAATGGTATACGTATTTCTTCAGAAAAACTAAAACTTCTATATCGCCTTAAAGTAACCTCAAATTCACCTGATCATGAAAATTATTACCGTAGATATAAAAAGGTTAATAGAAAAGTGTGTGCAGCTGCCATAAGATTAGAAAATGACCGTGTATACTTCTTTGTCTCCAACAAATCAAAAGTGGCTTGATTAATTATTAATGATGACTTAAATAATAAGTCGCGAAAATCTGCTGAAATATTGAATATTTTTATTAATAACGAAAAAATTTATGATTCCTGTCACATAGCAAATTCATTTAATGACTTTTTTGTAAATTCTTCTACCAGGTTATGACAGAATAATGTTAATTATCAGTCTCCTATCCTATCAGAAATATTTAACCATCTATTTTCATTGGCCCGATTACCGAAACAGAAGTGTTCAATACTGCAATAGAGTTGAAACAATTAAATTTTTGTGGAATTGATCAAATTAGTTCCAATATTCTTAAATATGTTGCTTATTATATTATTGGACCACTAACATTCCTAATTAACAGATCTTACCAAGAAGGTGTTTTTCCGAAGATATTTAAGACAGCCAAAGTTATATTTGTATTTTTAATATTTATATAATATTTTTGTTTTGACTTGTCCCATATCATGTATTTTGATCTTATAGACAATAAAGTTATTATTATTATAAACTGTAAATATTTTTGTTACACCCTGTATTTTAGATTTTTTTCTTATTCAAATAACCTATAACATTTAACAATTAACTAAATGGCATTTTTTTACTTAAAAATATAAATTTAATTTTTACTCTTACTATTATTAATAAAAAAAAGGGAAATAATTAATATTTTATCAGAAATTTTTTTAAGGTATTATATAGAAGTTTATTTAAAAAAAATCTAGTAATTTTTGTTTTAATAATCAACATTTTTAAACACATACTAGGGGCTGTTTGTGATTTTTTTAAGATTTGTTATTTCAAAAAAATAGTTTGTTGTCATTCAGCAGCATTCATGATATAAGAGATAGTTCAGTAACTGCCTCAAAATAGTCAATTAAAATAAATTAAATATAGTTAAAACGTTTTTTAAAAAATTGTTTCTTAAATGTTATTATAAACATTTTTCGTTCATTTTTTTTTTACAGTAAATTTGGAATTTTTAAGTTTAATTTTTTTCATAAAATAGCAATAAACTTTTTTTTTATTTTGGTCTGCAACCGCACATCTATAGTTTACATCAAATATTTAGAATTCATAGATTGTTTAGTTGACAAAAAAAAAAAATCACAAATAGAAGCCACCTGTTATAAAATATTTAATTCGATATCTTCGAGTCAATTTTTTTTAAATAATTTCTTGTTGAATAATTTTCAAAAACATGTTGAACAAATGCACCCCTACCTCAAAAAAACGTCTCTTAATCTTTTAATATCACAACACTTATTACTTTTCTTAATATCTATCTTGTCTCCTCCTCCTTTTGAGCTGGTTCCTTTCTTCTTCTTTCCTTTGCAAGCTCGAAAGAAACTCCAAAGCTTTCAGGATTGCTTCGGGGATTGGTGGTGGAGTAGGAAGATGCTCTCCTACAGGTTGGAATCCGTTCTCATCGGCGATGTAACTGAGATCGATTTTGATTCCTTCGGGAGACGTGTAGCTGGAACGACCTTGGACTACTTGCGCCTCTTCTGGTGTGCCGATGTTTTTAAGGAAGCCGTGCTCTTCTTGAGATATGCCGTTACCAGTTTCAAAGCTGTAAATAAAAAAGAGTCGATAGATTTAGCTTGCATGTAATAATATACAGATTATTTCATTGATTAATAATTTTAAAAGTGAGGTTATTAGGAAAAAATCTGATGTGTCCAACACATGACTTTCCTATCTAGTTATTATAGGCTTTTTCCGGTTATTTTGTACAACCTATTGCAGCATCTCTATAAATGTTTAGAGGATAAACTAAATATATACATTGTCCACATACATCTACCTCGAAACATTTTTCTATAGATATTCATGGAAAACGAAAATACTAAAAAATAAAAATTTCCTACAATTTTTTCATTACGATCCATTTTAGAAAAATCATGTATAAACAAAAATTATAGAGATCGATATCGCAAACAACTTTTATTTCAAAAACTTTCATAAAAATCAAAATTTTGCACATTTTGTCAAATTTCTCGAATACGGACCATTTCAGGAAATTTTTACATAAAACAAAAATTATAGATAATATTATTAGAAGTAACTTTTATTTGAAGAATTTTTTTCTCCAAACATTAATAACAGATATATTCCATAAAATATAAAAGTGGCCTCCCATAAAGTACCCCCCCAGATGTTCCGACTATGTCTAAAATCTAATAATTTCACGTCAGGCTGAAATAAACCTTAAGTTTAAAATTTAATGTTTTTTTCTTTATCCGTTTTTGAGTTTTCTTCAAAATTCGAAATTTACACATTTTCTCAAATATCTCGAATACGGTCCATTTTAAAAAAATTATGTAAAGAATAAAAATTATAGAGAATTATATTACAAACAACTTTTATTTGAACAATTTTTATAAAAAATTATTTTTTTTACATTTTGTCAAATTTCTCGAATACGGACCATTTTAGGAAAATTTTGCATAAAACAAAAATTATAGATAATTATATAAGAAGTAACTTTTATTTGAAGAATTTTCTTCTCCAAACGTAAATAACAGATATATTCCATGAAATTTAAAATGACCACCTATAAAGTACCCCCCCAGATGTTCCGACTCTGCCCAAAATCTAATCAGCTCATTGGACGCTAAAACAAAGCTTAAGTTTAAAATTTGGTGTTTTTCAGTGTATCGGTTCATGAGTTATGCGTTATACAGACACACACACACACACAGACACACACACACACACACACACACACACACACACATACACACACACACACACACACACACACACACACACACACACACACACACACACACACACACACACACACACACACACACACACACACACACACACACACACACACACACACACACACACACACACACACACACACAACACACACACACACACACACAGACATCATCGCGAAAATAGTCAAAATGGATTTAGGGGACCTCAAAACGTAAAAATCCGTCGAAAACTCGAGGTCGAAAAAAATCATGATTCCTATACTTTCCTTATATCTGTATACAGATAGGAAAGTAAAAATACAAAAATGAGTAAAACATTATATAATGAGGGGAAAAATAGAAGAGAAAGAAAAAAGGGAAAGAGTGTAAACAATAGCGAAAAAAATGCAATTTCTAATCAATTCATTTTACACTGTAGCTATACATTTTCAGAATCAAATATTAGTGGCCAATATAAAAATGTAATATTACACAGGGTGTTACAATGAATAAAACATACGGTTTTGCGATGGGGAAGAGAGGGTTGACGTTTTATATTTTTTCATACTTTTTATTAAAATTTACTGTATGGACATATTATGAACAAATAATAACCAAATATTGATTTCCGATTTAGTCCGGAAAAACAGCTGTATAAAAATCAATGGTTTTTAACTTTATTCACGAAATTTTAATAATTTATTGGTCAATTTTTTTGAAGAAATGATACAAGAAAAACACTGGAGTACTGCCAAAAACGAAATTGATAATTACTTCTTTTAGTAAAAATCTATTTGTGCAAAATATTGGGAATACTCCAACATTTGTAACAAAGGCAAGAAGTCATGTATAAGATATCATATTAAATGAACCATCTCTATCTGATGACAAGATAATTATGTTTAAACTAGAGATCAACACTACTTCAGGTGGAATCCTAGAAAAACTGACTAGAACAAATGCAACACCATTCTAAAACAAAATTTAGCACGTATCCATACTTTATTTTCTGGAAAATGATCTGGATATCTAAATGAGGCAATACTTGAGGTATATTAATCAAGCTGCCCCATTCAAACAAATAGAACTAGTAATAATGCTCCTTGGTGGAACCGTTATCAGTCAAACTTATGATCCGAAGTGCGAAAGCTCTATAATAGGACCAAACACAGCAAAGATTGGTAGAGCTACACCGAGGTACTTACCACCTACAACAAAGAAATCAGATAAGCTAAACGTTACAGCTTCAGAAAATTCTGTGAACAGATTAACTCTATATATGTGGCAGCGACACTGCCCAAGGCCCTGGCAAAAGGGAGAGTTGGATATAGGTATAAAAAAATAAAGAAATCAATTGTTTATTTTAGAAATAACCTACGTCACTTTTTGAGAACATTCAGGAGGTGAAAAAAATGTTTTGAACTAGAACCAGAACTAAGGTTGTTTCATGAATAAACAAAAATTTTAAAATGCCATATAACCAAGAATGTTTACTGAAGTTAGTATTTTTCTGCATTAAACGTAAAATACTCTGAAACTACAATGTTATTGTGATAAACCCAATATGGACAAAAAGTGACAGGTTGTTTCTGAAATAAACGATTTAATTGGAAGTTTTATGGGGATTAAGGAAGAAAAAGCTCGCCTCTTATTAGAAATTCACTCTCTTAGGAGACACAACAAAGGTAAGCTGACCCTCAAGAGATGACGCTGAAGTGGCTAAATACATATGCAGCAGCAATCGGTTAAAATGGGGTAAACACATTTGAAGCGTTTAAGTCTTTAAGTGTGGATGCAATATTTGCTGCCTTGCTTCAGGGGGCACATGAGGAATTACTACTACACATATCGTCGTCAATATCACGAAGTGACGTAACTCGAAAAAATTAAAAATTGAGATATCATGTATTATGTAAAAAAGTATGCTCTACAATTTCACGAAATTGCGTATTTCAATTCATTACATTTATTAAAATAGCACGTATCTAACTGGTATATCTGATAATTTCACAAAGAGACGTAACTTTATAAGAAAACTTTAAAACACTATCTTGTAAAGTTGTGAAAATCGAGTTACGTCACTTAGTGATATTGCGTATCTAACCGGTATATCTGATAATTTCACAAAGAGACGTAACTTTATAAGAAAACTTTAAAACTTTCTCTTGTAAAGTTGTGAAAATCGAGTTACGTCACTTAGTGATATTGACGATGATATTTCGGATATCCTGGAGCAGTCTGAACCTGGGGTATATACCAGAATCATGGAAAAGGGCCATCATAAATCCTTAGGAACCAATCAGCCTCATATCCTTTATGTTAAAAACAATGGAGAAGACTGTTGACAATTATATTAATATAGAAAACGCAGAGGGTGCCACTCCACGACAGCCAGCTTGTGTATGAAGCAGATCTACAGATCTACAGAAACTGTCCAGGCATAGCTGACTGACGAAATCCAGGATGCACTGATAAACAAATAAACGGTCGTGTGTGCTTTCCTATACATAAAAGGAGACTTTGACAACACACCACACGAATCTGTTAAAAGAGCATTTGCATAAAGATAAGCAGATAGCACCACATTCAGATGGATGGCTCAGCTGCTATGTACAAGAACTATAGAGACAAAGATAGGACAAGATACTATCTTTATCTGCACAACCACAGGATGTCCACAAGGAAGAGTTTTGTCCCCACCAATGTAGAGCTAAACTGAAAACAAATTTATATGCAGGTTGACTGACCACGGCACACCCTGTCAAGGTAGGTAAACCCCACATAATCAACACTAGTAGCCTTTTCAAGAATGTTAAAACCATCGAATTAAGATAAATATAGAATGGATAAAAGAAGTTAAATATCTAGACCAAACTCTGGAAAACAAGCTTCTTAGGAACATAAATAAAAAGGACGTAGTAAATAAGGCCACACAAGCCATAATGGTATGCAGAAACATTGCGGGTAACAGATGGGATGTAACCTGAACACACTGCGATGGATGTATACATCAATAGTGAGACCAATCGTCACTTACGGGGCTATTATAGCTTGAAGTAACAGAACTAGTTTAACTACTACGAGAGCTAATATCTTAAAAGTACAAGAACTAACCTGTGTTTTCATCACCAGTCTAATGAGAATCTGTCCTATGGCCGCAATGGGGGTGATATTAAACCTTATTTTTCTACTTTTAATAAAAAAGAACATGGCAAAAAGGACACGATATAGAATCATCAGAAAAAGAGTAATTAGACGAAAGCTTGAGGACTTAAGATTCTTGTGATATGCCCGATGATGAAATGAGAAAGTAGTACAGTTTTATAAAAAACTTCAAAACCACAAAGCTGGGCTGCAAGAAGTAATTGAGCCAAGACAAGAGATTCTAATTTTTGCCAAGCAGCTATGAAAGCGCTGATCTCTTACAAAATCTGCTCAAAAATGGTCTGGAGATGCTTAGAAAAACTTAATAATCTTGTAGTCTTGTAAGGAAAGTGTTTCAAACACTAATTGGCAGTAGACGAACCAATAATTGAAACAATATCTTGGGGATAAATTAGGCTAAGATACTTCTAGGTAAATATATTCAAAAAAGATCGGAATCCTGCATCTGCCTGAGTAAGTCCAGGCAACGCATTTTAATAGGGATCCTTACTGGGCACTACTGACTCAAAAGACACCTCAATTAACTGAGGGCAGTAGAAGATAATGAGTAAAGTCTTTGTCAGAAGGAAGAAACCTCCATTTACATTCTGACTAAATGTGTAGCACTCCAGAACCTAGAAGCTTATCAAATAGAAGGAAATCTACCTAACTTGAAGTTACTCCAAATCCTAGACTTCCTTAAAAAGATTGGAAGGGT